GGGCCTGGGCAGGAGCCCGGAGGGGCGGATCCGAGGACGCGTGAAGCCCCGCAGGCGGCCAGGGTTGCGGTACCCTGGCTGATGGACGTTCCTGATGACGCCATGTGAACAGGTGCGGGAAAGCTGGAGATGAGAGGAGGAGAGGCACAGCTGTTGGTTGCTAGCAGTTCTGTCTCACGGTTGGATGTTTTCAGGACCTCAGCACTGCAGCGCCGGGTGGCAGGGTTCTAACTTCTCTCGGCCTTAGTTTTTTCATCTGTTAAGTGGACAGAATGTCTGCCTTAAAACTGTGGGCACTACGCGAGAGAGGTCGCCTGGTGTGCGACTTCAGAGCGCAGTGCAGGGCGTGGCGCGTGGTGAGCCCCGATCAAGGGCGCGGCTGTTGCTACTGTAACTTTCTAGCAGGCGAAGGCGCCCGAGGGGTTAGACTGTGTCCGCGCAGCTCGTTAGCGGGAGAGCGAGGAGTAGGGTCAGCTCTTCCTCGCTTCAAAATGTATCCACTCAATGCGAAAAGCCGCCTTGTTCAGCACGTTACACTTTAGGAAGTGCTTTTGTATATATCTAATATTTGTTTCTGAACCTTTCAGTAACAGTCTTGTGAAATAAACAGTATTACTAGACCGAGCATAAAGCAGAGGAAACAAAGACTCAGGTGATATAACTTAATGAAATTTACAGAGCCAGAACTGTGTGGAACCCAGATCCAATCTAAACTTCCTGACTTGTGGCCGCTCTTTCTGTTAATCTGCTTGCGCATTGAGTATTGGTTGCCACTTCTTGTTTACCTTCCCCAAATTTTCTTATTGCCCCTTCATACTACAAGCATTCAGCCTCTCCTTGCGGGAACTGGAAAGCCAAGGATGAAGGGGAAGGAACATGATAATACTAATAATAGCTCACATTCATTGAGCTTTTTCCAAAGTACCAGACTTCACAGCCCAGTGCTTTACAACTGTTATCTCATTAACTGTTACAAAACATAAAGGAGGGCTTAGAGAGGTGCAGCAATTTGCCCTGGGGTGCTGCACACCTGACAAGTGGTGGACTCAGGATTTGAATCCACAAGTCTGGGTCCAGAGCCTGCTTTTTAAGCGGTGCAGTCAACGTAGAGAAGTCATCTGACTTGCTTAGGCTGCTACGTCCAGGTACAGAAGGAAGGCTCAGATATGAGTTCTGTCTTTCCATTATACCACAGAAAACAACAAAGCAAAATATATATATATATATGTCTCAAAACCTCTCTGATAGGTCGGAGAATTTAGCTTTTCTAATCCAGTTTTTTTGCAAACTGCTGCATTGATTACAAGTGAATCTTAAATATTTTTTATTTCTCAGAGTAGTAAGTTTAAAATAAAGCTAATGGTCAACCAACTAACTATGGGTATGATATGGAAAAACCCTACCACCTTCTGTTAATAGCTAACTTAGAAGGAACTGTGAGATAATCTGACACACCTCCTAGCTTTAGAAAATTGGGATATGACTCCCACAGAGGTAGGATGATTTGCCCAAGGTGGCATAGAAATGTAAGCGAAAGCCTAAACTCTTGATTCGAGACCTTATTGTAACCAAAACATACTATACCTGAGAGGGCATTTATTCAGTTACATTTATTGCTTCATTTAGTCCTCACAATGGCCCTGTATAGATGAGATTATTATCTTTATTTTGCTGTGAAGAAACAGAGATGAGGTCATTTGACTTTCCAAGGATGAACAGCAAAGTACAGAGAGAAGATTTAACTTTTTTTTTTTTTTTTCTGAGTTCTGCTCTCATGGGCCACACCTCTCAAGTATTAAAATTTTTAAAGTTAAAATTATTTCATTAATGTACGTTAATTTCATAATGTTATTTAAATATATAGACTATAAATCTGAGTATAAATTTAAATTTACAGTTTTTATAGGACTAACTAAAACACAGTTAAAATGGGTGATGCACGATGTTAAATCCCTGCTCTTAACGCAGAGTGGCAGGATTCTTTAGTAAAAAGTTCAGTGCCCGCGTGATAGTGCGCCGTGAAATGAATGATTAAATTTTCTCATCAGGTTTTTGGAGCCAAACTAACACCAAATCTTTGTTGAGAGTTTTTGCGATTATCTCTTGCCTTTCTCTTGGAGGAACATAGAAGCTCCATAGTGGGTCTGCTTGTGTCTGTTTTCATCAGCTTGGAAACAACTGAAGTTTAATTACTTGGCACTGATGCCCTCATTGAATACACCTGGCGCGTGGCAACGATCAGGAGAAGGTTCAGGCGGCTCAGTGTGCCCACGAGAACTTCTTACAAGTTTAACACCAACGTAAAAACAAAACAAACATTTAAAAAGAGCAAGAACACATTTACATGGAGAATTTGTGGATTCCCGAGAACGTGTCCCCAGATCCAAATATGAGGACTGTTGTCTTATCCATGCCATCTTAACTAATCAGCATTTGTGAGGTTGCGACCTGTTATTCACAAAGCAGTTTCTCAGGTTACTTCACTTAATTCTCATTTGAATTCCGCGATGTAGGTTTTCAAAGATAATCAGTGAGCACAGTTACAGTGCTGGGGGGGTGCAGTTAAGTCTCAAACTCGGACCTTCTGACTCTATTTTACTTCTGGTATGTGTTAAATAATTGTTGAACCGAATAAAAAATTCCACCATAGGAGAATCTTCCAAGTTTTTAACAGTTCTTAAGATCTAATTTTTATCATGATAAAAATTTTTATCATCTGATTCTCAGTCTTTTAATTTTCAGAAAATTATGCATAACGCCCTACAAAGCACATGAAATCAGCAGGGGGTGTTTTAGTAGTGTATTTCACATATTAATGCAAATGATTTTATCCCTTTAAAGAGAAGTATGCAGTTTCATCAGTTTCTAAGCTTTGAAGTATCTGCTTCATCTAGATATAGATTTTAATATGCTAAAATATTATAATTAATACAGAAATTACTAGCTCCACCTATCAGCGAAGATGAAGAATTACAAGTGGTTCTAAGTGCTACTAAGCGAGAATGCACAATTCTAATTTGCACAAATCCCAGAATGGTTATATTGGAAAATTACTTACTATTTTAGTATTTATTTTAATGTAAATGAATATGTGACTTCATTTGGTATAAGTAATTTAGTGTCCATTTATAGAAAAAGTGCTGCTTCTAAAAAGGTTGTCATTTTACCAGTTCCCTGAAAGAGACAGGAAAGCCACAAAGAGCAATATTTTTCTGCCTCGTGGGAATTTTCCGAGAAAATTAAGTGTGGCTTGGAATTGCCAAATTGAACTTTATAAAATGACTATTATGATATGTAAAGTACCCTTTTCGGGTAGTATTTTATAATTCTGTATAATATGACCCAATGCTCCAGAGAAGTATTACGAGCTGCATTTTACACATATTTAGTCTTTTTTTAATGGCTGTTTTATGCCCACTGTTCACAAAGGAATCCAGTGACCTGCCTGGAGGGAAGAAGAACATACAGGATGATTCTGGGCTTATTCTGTGGGGGTAGAAGCAGGGCATTTATAGCAAGCAGCGCAGGCTAATTGCCTGAGGGAACCATGTAACAGTTACACTGTTTTAAAATACAGTGTTTATCACTGGTCCAGGCAGTATTTGAAAGCCCTCGGATTATCCACAAAGATCTGTGAATTATTGTCAAGCATCCTAATGGGGTGACGAGGACAGGCAGCCCTTTCTACTCAGGATGAGTTCACTAGGGCTTTTCCTACATAACAAAGCAAATCTTTCCGTGAATGAACAAAAAGCACCTTCCAAAGGCTGTGTAAAAATAAATTAACCTTCTTAATATTAATAGTTTATTCGTTGGTCTCAACATTTACAAGAAGAAAGGCTAAGAATAAATAAAAGTATGACTGTGGACACACTTGCATTTAGGGCCCTTCCATGCATTTAAAACTGTTCTGTGAGTGGGGAGGCTCTGGGTTCAACAAGTGAATATGTCTCCCTGGGCATCTTGCTGACAGCCCCCACCCTCCCCAGCAAAGGGACTGTGGGTGGACCACTAAATAAGGCCACATATATTCCTCCATTCTCTGTTCTAGGTCCCCTATCCTTGCCCGTCTCTGCCTCGGTCCCCGA